CAGGGGCGCGCCTCTCGGCGCGGGGGGCCTAACACGCCTCCTGGACCCCGAAGTGGAGTGGAGTGGAGAGAGAGAGAGAGAGAGAAAGGGAGGGAATCAGAAAACTGCAAGCAAGCGAGCAAGCAAGCAAGCAAGGACGCAGATAAATCTATTGATCCGACCTTCGGGATATCCGCGCCCTCCGATAAATGTGCAATTCTTGCCACACCTCATTGTTCGACTCAGAACTCCTGCATGCCATACACAGGATCCCGAGCTCTATCCTGGCCGGGATCTGCCTGGCCCCAAGCCTTCGGGGGCATAGGGATTTCAACTTTGAGGGGCTTCAAGAGGATTTCAAGCCTTTGGGCTAATTTGGGTTCGGAGGCGACTCTCCTGAGCACTCCCGTGCTGAAGGGCACCTGTGTCGAGAGCCCGAGCGGACTTGGTGGGGACACTAGCAGTCTCCTGCAGGAAGGCTGGACAAGTCGCCCTTTACATGCGCGAAATTCAGTATTCACTTATTCAGTCACACATCCAGGACTTCGCAGCTCAGAGACGCTCCAAGGTTTCTCATAAAGCCTTGTAGTGATGATATACTGTATAACCAGCCCCCAGTCCTTGCTTCAGGCTGCCGGAAACTGTGAAGGCTCTGGACATCCCGACAGCCATCGACTTCTTTCAGTACCATGACAGGGCGCGGAGGGTTCAGGGGTCTAAAACTTGAAAAGCGCAATGTGGGCAGGGAAGATTTGTCGAGTTGCAGCGGCCGTCCTTCCCGTCCCCGGCCTCGGTCCTTTGAGGATATACAATATACAGGCTGTAGGAGCCGATCCAGTTCGAGCTGGGGTTTTGATTAACTTCGGGCCTTCCAGTTTAGCGCTTTCAGCATTTTCAGGTTCCAGAAGTCTGTAAAAATATTGATCCATGGGAGGCTACAATACGAGGCCTCGTTGAATCAACATCCCCAAGAGACTTACTTAGTTTGTTGTGCTGAAGATGGTTCGCCGCTTCAAGTCTTTCTCCGAGCTGTTCGAGAAGTTTGTTGTTGGTCGAACCTTGCGCACATTGGCCCAACAGAACTTCCAACTTTGGACGCTTGGTCCGGAAACCAACGACTTAGATCCACTAACCTCGACCTTGCAATCTCAATTCGGCACACCCGTAGAGCCCGACTTGACACCCTTTGTTGCTGAAGGAGCTGTTCTTTTGATCTCCAGAATCAGAAGTTAGCAGCCTTCTCCTCCACTCTCCGCAGGTGCGAGCGCACGGCAATACAGGCCGTCTCAGCGCAGGGTTCTACTATTAAAAAGCAAATGCCCACAATTAACCCTCAGTATTTATTATAAACTGCATAAGTTTACCGAGTTATACAATGTACGTATTTTGGAGATGATTGGCAGTTGACACTCATTGATTCTCAGAAGTCCTGACGAGTGTTAGGTGGCCTCTACTTGAGGATGCTTCGAGTGCTGTGGCTCTCCCTGTTGTGCTCTAGGATCATCTTGGAGCTTGGTGGCTCAGGTTTCCGCCCTTGGAAGTTGAGAGGGGTTGTCGCAAAAAAAGGTTTAGGGCAAGGATGTATCCGGGTTATGGCCAGTAGTAGTTCTGATGCAGGGCCAGAGCAGCACAACAGCACGCGAGACAGACTTGGATCGGAACCCTTACAAACCCCAATCTGTCTATGTCTTGCTACGCGCACACACACATCATACATACTATATATGCACACATCCATACCTCTCTCTCTCTCTCTATATATATATATATTATACACATGCATGTACACATGCGTTACAACATGCTGTTCGCTGAGTGTTTAGATAGTGTTTATGCCCACGCCCAGAGCACGATAAACGGAAACCGTCTCTCCGCATCTGAGACCGGTCAAACCGAACTGAAATCATCGTCTCCCTGGGCACAACAAAAGTATCCCTAATTAACACGGTACTTATTCACTTATTCACGCCCTCAAACCCTAAGCCCTCAATTCAAGACTTCGTGCAGACGGCAAAGAGCCCTTAACTAAACATAAACCTAAACCGCATGGGTTCAAGGGTCCAGGCTAACGACCTCGCCAAGTAGGGTGCGGCAGCCTCCACTTCAACTGACTACCACTCTTGACCCTAAACTTGTAACCAAGTCTCGACCTCACCTACCAGATCCGACACTTTTGCAGGTCCTATATACGTACATCATATATGTAAATCTCGTGTATCCATGTATACATATATATATATGTATATACATGCACTCGAATCACATCAATAAATACGTACAGGTTGGCGTCCTAGTCTGGAATGTATCGGCAGCCGGCTGGAAAAAGTGGGTGAGAAGGTGGTCCTGTGGTACTCAAGCCTCCCCTGCCCCTGTGCTCCAGGTCTCTTGGACCGACGGAGCTTCTCCGAGATGCTTTTTGCCATAGCCCGGGGCAAGGCTGGGGCCAGCGCCTTGAAGTTTCAAACATCGTGTTGCTGAGGGGCGAATGGGTTATTCCATCCCTCTATGCAACTTGTCACCTATGTACCGAAGGTAACACAGGCTCACAGCTTGAACACTTTCTGTAAGCCCTAGAAGGCCGCCAACGCGTTTCAGACGCGTTTCAGGGGCGCGGGATTTTGAGAACCTCGGGCCGACTTTGGGAATTTACGGCCCACTGTCCTTCGGGAAATTTCAACTGTGGGTGCGGGGGGGGGGGGGGGGGGGAATCTTGCGCAAATGCGTGGCTACACTTGCAGCACGTTTCTTCGCAGACTTCTCTTCCTTCCGAAGCTGACTGTGACGAGGAGTACATGACCGCCGAATGGTGCGATGCAATCTTCAATGCTTTGGTGCTTGGCCTGAACACCTACCTGGCCTACCTCCTAAGAACCAGCACTAGACAGATTTTCAGGCACGGGTAACCCACACTTGCCCCAACTGCAGCCACCAGTCAGTCACCGATAGGTCGACGATAGGGTCTTATAGGAAGCCCACAACACAGTACTTAGCCTAGACCTGCGGGAATAATTTACATGATGATTAATAACAATGCCATGCACCTCAATCACTGAGGGTTGCCACATCATTTCAGGCTGAGCGACTTCAGTCTGAGATCCTTCGCATCTTGCAACACTGTGGGCTCGCACTTGATTTGTCGAACAGCTCAGGACTACGAGCAGGCTGGGATGCTGGATCAAGATCAATTTCTGGGCTGCTGGGCCATGAAGTGAAGTTCCGCTTGTGGGCCATTTTTCGATGTGTTTCGGACCTGAGCCCGGAAGGAGCAGGTTCTTGTCTCGATTGCGTCACCAGACTGCAAAGAAGCGCAGCGCAGTCTTGCGATACTTCTCCTTGAAAGGTGCTACTCTGCCTCTTATGCAAGAACCGCTTATGGTATGATATATATATATATAGATACTACTATAGTATGAGATTCGATAATGCAGAGTTTGGATCATCCATGGGCCTCGCCCTGGACGAGGTTGGGCCTTCAACTCATTGAACAACTACTTCAGTGACGTCCGGCGACGTTTTCACACAGTGGCAGCCCCAGCACTGTGTGATGAACGGTTTTGGCTTTCCGGCGGGCAGCACAGGCACAGGAAGGTATGTCAGTATGTCATGTAGTTCGGGAGAAAGGCCGTCAGGCGGCTTGGAAGTTCTAAGGCTAAGGTGTGTTCGCACGAGCTGGGCGCTAGAATCTTCAGAGTCGCTCAGGCTATTCTACTTGAGGGTTTGTCGTCCATAGCCTCGGGTCAATGCCGAATCTCATGAAGTTGCTAGTGCAACCAAACCCCCTGGAACCCGGAACTCCAAACTTTGAAATTGCACAAGCAGGAGGAAAAGACACCTTCAACTAACAAAACTCAGCCATGTGAGAGGGAAAAAACTGCTGAAGCAAATGCTTTTTCCCAGTCCGTTGGCTTGCCCAGTTGTGCTGAAACTCTGGAACTCCAAACCCTCTGTCCCAAAAACCCTTCACGACCCCTCAGTCCTGAGCAATTAAGCTCCAAATCCAGAATTCCCCAACCTCGACAACCGTTTAAATGAGTTCAAAACCCCTGTTGGATGTTTGTTGCGAGGTGAAAGAACCCGACTTGCGAGAGTCCCGGCCTCATTGCATAACTGCGGTCATGAGGCAACTCATCAAAGTGAAGCGGCGCCTGTAGGCGCTGTAGGAGCCTGCTGGTGCCCTAGCTAATCATGCCAGACCTCCGTACTACTGAGACTCAGAATATCTCAGAATACTATAATACTATAGCACGAGTAGTTTGGCGCCGCATGGCAAAGCTCATGCAGGTTCAGGGTGGTCTGGGAACAGCGCGCTAAACTCGATTTGCCCCTGTCACGCTCTCGCCCAAGCCGTTCGGTTTCTTAGAGTGTAGGTGCAGGAACCGTCACTGGATGAGATAGTTCATACTTTTGACAGATGCGCTATGGTGGGTGCACACCTTGTCGTCGGGCCCAAAAGGTTGTTTCTCCTTCTCCTCTTCAGACTACAGACATATTCCGTCTTCGCGAACTCGCCACTTCTGTCTGTCAGACACTCAGGTCGGTCGGCACTATCGGGAGGAACAAGTCCGTGCCCGCAATAATCCCAGGCTGACAAGGGTATCATTAAAGGCAATTCATCAAGACAACCCGACGTAACTGGACTGAACATTGCCATTGCTAGTGCCGTTGTCTGTCGAGCGTTCCCCGTCACTCTGTTCAGAATGCTGGACTTTCCCAGCCGATTCAAGTGTGTTCTCTCCCGGTATGGCTTGGGCGTGGTCGGCTTAGACGAGGGCATCAACACAGCTCCTTGCCCGTCGCAGTAGAACTAAAGCCTGAAATGCCGGTCGACCATACGGAAAACCAACCGTCGACATACCAAGCCCTAAATCTGCAGCCATCCAACTTCAAAAGCTCGTGACGTGGGGCTCCCAAAATCCTGAACTGCAAAACACCCCATGAGGCTCTTGACCGGTTTGGGTGCAACTACCGGAAGCGCATCTCGGACACGGCAAAATTCGATTTCAGAGTTGAGGGTGCTGAAGTGGCGAGATCTCATATCTGATGATTTGGGGTTTGGCCTGTCCTGAGAAGCCGGAATAGAGCCCTTGATTTTGCCTTTCGTGCTACAGGGCTTCTCGCAGCAGTTCCTGATCAGCAAGGAGGCGCAAAGTCAAAGAACAAATTGTTTAAAATGCCGGCCATGATTCGAGCAGGTTTTGGGGTGTAGGGTTAAAATATAACAACTATGGGAACTATGAGGGAAGTACTATTACGCCTTGCTTGCAGGAGTTCTGGTTTGTCGTCGAGACCTGCAGCATCAAGCTGTCGAGCTTCCAAGCAGCACTGCATGACAGTCAGGGTATTAAAGGGGTTTGTCCCGATCGTGCTTTGCCTGAGATTACAGAAGTCTAAACTAATCAAGAGATTCCTACAGCGCACATGGAATATGTTTCCTGTTGCAAGGAAAAGCTTGTGAAGAGCTTCACGAGCGGCTGGACCTGGAGCAGACCGGAAGTCTGGAACTAACGGAGCCTCCTGGCAGGACTTCGGACGTTTGAGGTTTTACAAGAAGGACTTCTAGAGGGGTTTCTGCAGAACATGAAAAGAATAAGACCATACGCCGTATCATACGCCTACAGCCTACAGGTTGTAAGGACTGACGGCGTGAAATCTATCTATTCCGGTTCGACGACGCAGAAGCTTTGCCAGTACGGTTGTACGGGCCACGGTTCGTAGCGCTTCAATCGTTACGCGAAATACCATCGGCATTGTTCAGCTTGCGGCACAAGCTCCTGGGGGTGCACCCGCACTGCCCTTCAAGTCAGAGAACGGGCTGGTTGGTTTTGAGAGGCTCTTTCAACAAACAGTGGAACTGTTCACCCTTGAGAATGCACGGAAGCCCTGCAGAAGCACAAGATGCGCAAGTAAGCGTTTAACTCCACCTGATTCCCAGCTTTTCGCAAGTCAGGTTCCTAAATTGGGTCTACCCTGGACGGGAACTGCACCAGCTGCAGCAGAAGCTTGACAACCTTCGACACTCTGCCGAAGGTATTAGACACACAGGGCTTTTGTCTTGAAGGTCCAACAAGGTCGCTTGAGCCAGATACTCCGAAGCAAATTGTCGCTCTCGACATCCGCAGCCTTGGCAGTTAACACCTGCACTAGCCCCGCCCTCGGAAATCTGTAAACACTAGAGACTAGAACGTCACAGTTTCACGCTGACTACGGCAAGTTCCCGGCGTTTAATCATAAAGTAGTCCGGGGACTTCAGTGATCGGTGAGCGGTCCGTCCTTTTGCAGAGCAGCTAGGGCCTCTAGGGTCCAACAGCCATCGACTCAGTTTTCACACTGGAGCCCCCCGGGCCTATGGAAGTGGCAGCTTTGTTTCGCATCTACCATTTTCAAGGTCCGAAGGCCTAGATCAAGACCTGCTCGTCTGCAACTAATGCAAAGGATGAAGGCATTTGACGGGGGATACCAGGAAAATCCTAGTACTCCGAGACTGCACAGTCTGGCCACGATATGACAATGTCTCGCCAAGTTCAAGTCCTGCAAATAGCCAGGAGGAAACTCCTGTGGTCATCCTCATCCTGGCCAGAAGTACCATTTCCACCCCTGAAGCATACCATGCAGTATTGGCAGTATTTGGTGCCATCGCCGTCATCCTGGTCGTCGCCACATCATCTTCATCGGATAGGCAAAACGACAGGTGGCATAGCAGACATTGGAACAAACCCTTCGGGAGAGTGAGTCTGCAGACAGGTCGGCAAATTTTAGATGACTCTGATGACGACAATGGCGTCGCCGAAGTCGGCTACTATGAAAGCACGGCCCCAACGGTCTCAAGGGTTCACGGCTCTCAGCCCTCACCCCGGCTCTCTGCTTTTCGGGAATTGGGTGGAGAGTCCTGGGTCGTCGAAGTTTCATCTCTTCTCGGGCTGGAGAGGGCTCGAACGAGTGTCGACCGTAGGCCCTAGCTAACTGATTCACCAAATCCCGAAGCACGATGTGTTGCTAGCTGGCAGCTGTGACCTCAAGCGGCAAATGAACGTGCTTGGCGAAGTTGAACCCATGTCACCCGCAGCTTGTTTCAAGGGCAGAGCTAGCTGAGCTCTTCACCTCAACGTGCGCTTGACCCACATCCGTAAAGAATGCAAGCCACAAGCCAAGGTTACAAACCTCCGAAGAGGCCGATTTGGGAACCTAGCCTGCATCATGGGCGCTAGTTTTGATTTTTTGGCATAACCCAGGTGGAAAGATTCACCGCGCAGCAGGGGGATCACCATTAAAAGCGGATTGCTGATTTCGGTAATATCTCGATGCAAGGACTGGAGGTGTTGGATCTTGCGTACAGCATGTCAAGCCTGTGAAGGTGTGCAGCAGGTGATGCACGAACTCGAGAACTGTGCCTTAAGTTATGCCCCATGCTGGCCCGACCAACCTGCCACATGGTCCTTATACCTAGGCACACCGCCTTCTAATGCATGACAAGTATCTGGAGAAGTCACGCTACACACGTACAGAAACACACACACACACACACATATATATATATATATACATTCCGCGCCGTATGAGACAGGCACATCACCCTGCAGGATGCTGCCCAAGTCGCCTTGTGTTACCGCGGTCCGATGTTCCTGCTAATCCTTATGCCCACAACCTGAAAACGGAAGTCGCAACGTGATTCTGATATGATATGTTTGGAGAGCATCTTGGCAGACTGAGAAAGATCCACAACACCAATCCTTGACTAGATGGGCGGATTAGCCCCGACTATGCACGGACTCGCTCGAAATCTCGGCGGCAGGGACAAGGACTTGAAAGGAGCAGACTCCATAGAACAAGGATCTACAGTAAGGGCATGTAAGGCCACAGGAGTTTAATGCACGCGAAGAGGGGACTCCTGCAAATGAGCACTAGACTGCATCTTGCCTGTCAACTTCAGGTGGGTTCGTTGTCATGGGTTTGCTTGACCTTGACCTTGCGCAGTCCGCATCTCTCGTATTGAGGAAATGCTGTCCAAGAACCCGGTGGTGCTGGAGTTCACGATTGCCCAGGCCTATCAGCCCAAGATCAAGCACCTGAAGGACGCGATCCTGTATAAGCCTATACTACAAAACAAGACAGCGCAGTCACCATGTCGAGACCCGTCGTTCCCGCCCTCAACAGTTTCGGAAAAGGTATCCGTTGCTACCAAACTGCATGTGGCCGGGCAGCAGCGATTGCACGGCTTCGGTGCGTAGAGGCACTTGTCCCACCTCAACGATATACACATCCTCAAGTCTTGGGCACAGAAGTTTAAAACTATACGAGCACAAAAGTCCTGGGAGGCAACAAAATGGCCACAGCTGCTGGCTCAAGGTGTTGAACAGATTCGAAAGCAGCGCTGGCTAAACGGTCTTGTTATAGCAAGATCGAGTGAAGGGCATGTCGACTCGTGAGCTCGATATTTGCTGCCGGTCATGCCTGTCGTGTGCTTGCTGCTGCCGGCTGGCATGCATAGCAATGTGGCAGCTATCGTCGTCGGCAGCGTCCCTACTGCTTAAAAGTGGTGTTTGCGCGAGCGCCAATGGCCAAATGGCCAACTGAAACATGACGAGAACGGAGGAACAGAAGAACTGATGAGGATTTTGATGCAGGCACGCCGTCTTGATGGAACCACCCTGCGTGGACAGAAACGGCATCTCCTGATGCGCCAATGTCTTCAGACTTGTATGTGTTGATTTGTTGCTGCTGTGATTGTGTTGTGATGCAGACAACGTAATGTACTCAAGCCGGTTCCGATGGGGGAATTGTTGCTTGCCCGACATAGTCGTATGCGTGCTTCTGTGCTTGTGTGCAGTGTAAAATTTCGGAATGTTTCGGAAATTTTCGCTAAAAACAACGATCACAACAAAAACATTGTCTTGTTCGAGAATGAAGGACCTGTGATTTTGGATTTTTGGGTGCATCTCACATCCCATGCACACTTTGCCTCGAAAACTCTGCCGCGGGGCGTGCGGCCCAGACCCCACAATTCCCCGACTCTCCTCGCCTTTGCCCTGCTCTGTTGGTTATTAAGAGCCCTGGACTTGCCTCGACTCTCCTTGCCTCTCCCTCTGCCCTCTTGGGCCGCCAGGGCGGCTGGCAAGAGAATTATAATGTTTTTCTCTGTTTTTTGAAATTAGACGGCGGTATCTGTGCGGACGAGTGGGTGTTTTGTGTGTGTGTGTGGGGAACCCAAAA